CCTCTGACCACCACCAGTAGGCAACGGGTGAAGTGTCTTGCCCAAGGACACAATGACCGAGACTGTCTGAGCCGGTTAGTGTAAAATACACTGCGTTCAAATTTCAGGCTCACGTGCAGCTGCAGTCTTTAGTGTACAATTCAAAAATGAAAATACTATAGAAAAGTATTTTTTACTATATATGTTGCTACAGTAAACTACAATTGACTGACAGTTTGACTGGTTTGAAGGACCTACGACAGCGCTCTGTCCTAAACAGTCGCTTATGCTCTTCCTGCCAAACTGCTTCTGTTTCCTTGTCAAATAAACAACATGCAAAATATAAAAGGCTTTGCAATGAATTTAATCTGATCACACAAACATTTTACCCACAAATAAGTTTTTTTTTTCCTTTTTCTAATGTTACATTTAAAACTTCCAACAAATTCTCCAAACTAAATAACAGAATACATCACTGGTCCAGCAGCAGGGCGATAATAACACTCATCACTAGACTTCACATTATTGGCATTAAAGATGATCTCACACACACACACACACACACACACCAACATTCACTGTAAAGGCTAAATGATATTTGTATTTGTCTGCGAGGCAGCAACAAAATTTTTAAATATAATACCTAAATCCTGTTAATACACAAATATACAGAAAAATCACACAGTTCACACGGCACATGCAGCTAACAGTAACTACATCAGCAAGCACACTTGAATTTACATGTACAAACATGAAACACAGGTAACATATTAACACCTTCAACAACAGTGTCACTAAAATGTCATTTGAAGACATTAAAATCAGTAAAGCAACACAGCCCCTGAGAAACAGTGAACCTCACTACATATAGAGCGTATTTGTGTGAGTAAACAAAGACATGAACATTTTAGTGCTGTCAATAGATTAAAAGAATAACTAATTAATCACACAATTTTCTGTATTTAACTTTGATTAATCACAATTACTTGATCTATAGCCGGGTTGCAATTACTTTTTTTTTTTTTAACTTTATATTTAAGCTTGTAACTGACATTTATGCAATATAATGGAGTAAATGCAGAATAAACACTAAGAATGTATGCTTAAATTCAAAGAGAATTTGAATAGTTTTCTTCAGTCTTTTAACACAGGTTCTCTCCTGTGAAATACAACATAAAAAAACCTATATACTAATAGGTAAGTATACACTAATATATAATATATATTAGTGCTGTTAAACAATTAAAGTCTTTAATCAGATTCATCACAGAGTTACTGTGGATTAATTTTGATTAATCACGATTAAATACCATTAATTTCTATTCTACATTAATCACATTTCATTTTGCATGAGCAAACAGACTCGAGAAAAAGTATACACACTTAACATGTTTATTGAACATCTTGAACATTCATGTTAACAAAAAACTGAAACATTTATCGACTCTCTCTCTGTCATTCTTGGGGAGGCACTTCAAGTCCTTGAAAAGAGGAACCAAAGCTGCGTAAAGCGCGTGTTCTCAACGATATTAATAGCATTGCAGTTTGTTGCAATCCACTTGACAGTTGTGTCAGTCAACATGTTGCAGCATCCCCGACTAACGTATGCTTCGCGTCAATGTGATATTTTCAGCTGAAAGTGCTTCGGTGAAAAGAAAATTCCTTCTTGCACAATGTGCATAATACTTTATGTCTGTCGACTGTTCCGTCTTGTTATTTTTTGTAATACACAAATTTCCCATCAAGAGGGCCAATGTGCGTTTATCATCTTCCATACTGAGTTGATTTGTTCAGCTGCCCGTCACTACCAGATCAACTGCCCATTTGCGCATGTGCGAAGGTAACTCTACTTGGACAAACTGCCCGAAATGCATTGAAAGAGAAATTTCAGGGATTTTGAGTCATTCTTCACTCCAGATGCATTAATTGCGTTAAAAATCTTAATCGCGTTTACTGTGATGGCGGATTCATTTGCGTTAACGCGTTAATTTTGACAGCACTACAAAATTTACAAGTAGAGCCAGAATAAACTGATGAAATTTAACATCCCTGATGCTTTGTGCAAGAGCTGCCTGTTTACTTTATTCAATACTGCAAATATGTGTATAATCTGTTATATACAATTCTGAAAAATCTATTGTACTCACAACAGTTGTGGAAAGAAAGTCTTTAAAAAACAAATGAATTACTCATACCAAAGTTATTCAGGCCATCAGGAAATGGTGGGAAAAATTATCAAATCATCACACCACACAGTTTATTACAGTTTAAAAAGAAGCTACGAGTCCACAGTAGGAAAAGTTTAACAGTAGAGCTAAATGCTGTCAGCATACGATCTTGCATATGACTTCAAGGTTTTACTCCTGATGGTTAAAGTAAAAATAATAATGAATGACTCATGTTTATAGGATAATTTTGTGACAGACAGACACACCTGACAATGTGCAACAATCTGGGACAATTTCGCCTATAAAATACAGTAAACACCTTTAAAAATGTGATGTTACTGAGTGAAAATCCAAAACATTTATGCAAAGACATTTTTTCCATTAGACTGTGACTATTGTAATGAAGTCTTTAATGAAGTCCCATTTTAAAGCACCATATATGCTGTGTAATAAAAGCCCACTACCTATGTGTTACTAAAAAAGACAACTTATAACGCTTGCACAATTTCTTACAAATATTCAGACTTATGACCAGAAACATCCTTATCTTGATCTAATAAAACAAATAAAACTCTCCATATAGCATTTAATGTCTAAATATAAAGTATCAAATGTCTTCAAATGTGTTGGTAAGGCTGTAGGATAGACTGGTTTGTAACCTGTAACTGAGCCAGCAGATGATATTGCCAACAACAGCGTTGTCAGGGAAGTCTTCTTATTGATTTATTGTTTGTTTGTTTTTGTATTGCATGAGTTCATCTTTAACCGTTGTGAATTTTATTGCATGCTTTTATTGCAAATTTGTTGATTTTTTAGTGCTCACACCTGTGTGAGCTCATGGCCTTGAAGGACACTGGCATCGGCCAATGAGGACAGACCTCTATCAGCCAGAGGGCTAAAAAGGGTTTAGTGGGCGGGGTGAGAGACACTGGGAGACACCGGAGAGTGAGTGGAGAGGCAGAGTAGGGTTTGAATGTGTCCCAGCCTTAGTAATGCTACAGACAGAAGTGTGAAACAACTGACAGTTCCAGAAAATCAGCTGCAATCGGAGTATAGACCTCTGCTCGATGTCTGTGAGTACTCTCCACTAAAGAAATTAAATCAAGATTTGGTGCTTGACTGTCAGTCATTTTTCAAGGTCAGGGTGGAGCAGGGTGAAATATAAAGTGCACTGAAAAAGTGTCAGTGGGCGTGTTTCATCCAAGCTGAATCAGGGCATGTTTCAACATTTCCAAGTTTCTAGTTTAGCTCTTCAGGTGAGCAAAACAGAAAAATGTAAAAGTGGATAGATATTTCAACATCAGAGTGTTTTCAGTTAAGTTAATTTGTTACTGCCTAGTGTGGTGAACAGTTCTGTGAGACCAGATTATTCACATTGTTTGGTGTATTTTCATTCCTTCAATTTCAAGATACCCAGATTTTCCAACTATGATTGCTGGTGCCTCCTGTTTACGTGCAAAAACTGCACTGAAGAAGCACTGAGGTATTTGAAATCATGTTAGAACAGAGATACAAAGATATGCTATCACTGGGCTGGTTGTACTCTGGTTGTAAATCATTGTGCAACAAATCTGAACAAGCTTTTGGGAACTAGACTCAGACTAAGGAGTTCATTGTAAAATAACTTGTCTCACTTCCCAGGCTGTTGTTCTTATTGGTTCCCAGCAGTTTAATCGAATGTTTTCGCTAAGTTACTAATACGAGTTCAATCTCCTTGCTTCAAGTATGTACCTTTCAGTCTTTTCAACATTTAAATTTTTTAACTTGCTGAATTCCAGGAGGTAGAAAAGATAATTGTTATTTTAAATCTTGCCAGATTCAAATTTACTGGACTGTGTCAATGTCAATTTTAATGTTATTTGGATGGCACATTTCAATAGTAAGACCAATAAAGTGAAGACAATGAATTAAAACTCAAAACAAAGTAAAACTATGGCATCACAACATAAAATAACCCCTGATGGGACTCAAACTGAACTTAAAAGCCAAGGTAAAAAATGAAGCTATGTAAAACGTGTACGTCTACGTACATGAGTGACGTAATCGTCCTTTTAATACCTGTTAAATGACTTGCAGCAACATTTTGAATTTTGAATGCAATGGAGAGATGAGTGTT